TTGTGCAGAAGCGCGGTAAACTTATTGTCGGAAGGCAGAGCCAAACGAACGCCAATCGAATCGATGGCGAGGACCTTGCCGGAGACAGTAAGTAAGGTGATGCTATCGCGGAGTTTCCTATTTCCAAGATCAACAACAATGCCATACTTCGTTAAGAAAACAATGCCAAGATTGGGTTTCTGAACGTCGGCGATTAAGAAAAGCCAAGGTAGTTGACGTCGGAGTCCCAGATCTAATGGTAACAGTCTTTGGCCATAGGTCTGAATTTTTGTACCATTAGCCGCCTGGAGTGTGACATGACCTGGAGAAAGTCTGCGTTTGTGTGTACCTACAGTTATAACGCTAACTTCGGCACCCGTGTCAACGAGAAAACGGTAGCCGGTTGAGTTGTCAAACACGTGGAGGAGGCAAATGTGGTGCTGGCCAGTGGCCGTTGTCGACATTACTTGCTGGCCGGCGGGTTTCCCTGTTGATCCTGTAAACGAAAGGCTTTGGGGTGCGAACACCACGGCCTGCAGTTCCGTGCGGCATCTCCAAATCGTTTGTGGAAATAACAGAAACGATTCCGTTGAAAGTCACGGTTGGATGGGCTAGCACGTGTATTACGACCAGGTGATACGCTACGACGGCGATGAAGATGTTTGGCAATAGCGGAAACTTGGGCGGTCAACTGTTCGATCTGGTTCTGCAGCCTATCCATTGTGGAGGATGTACCTTCGGTCGCGTTATTTGACTGCGAGATTTGATTAACGGGATGCTTGAAAAAACATTCATGTACCTTGTCAGCTAGTTCAGCCAACTTATCAAGCGAAGTTTCATCACCTTGTACTGACAAGACCAGGACGGTATTAGGTGGTAGACATTTAGTCCAAAGTTGGCGCAGGATTGAGTCATCAACTTTGTAGCTACCAACTAAGGTTCTCATGTGTCGTAGCAATTGAGACGGAGAGCGGTCGCCAAATTCGACGCCAGACAGAAGTTGCTGTAAGTGAGACTCGTCTGAAGCGGTTGTACGTTTTAAAACAGCGGCTTTAAGAGTATGGTAAGGAAATTCTGTTGGCATTGGATCTAAGACGTCGATCACTTCAGTGGCAATATCCGTGGGGAGCTGAGTAGCCACATAGAAAAACATAGTCTCTTGTGTGGTAATCCTTCGAAAACGGAAATATGCCTCAATTTGTGTGAACCAAACACAAGGATTAGATGCACCAAAAGCAGGTAATTTGAAGGAAATATTGTTTTCACCGGGTTCCGTACTCGTACTAGGTTTGGATTCCATAGTTGTCTTGCGAGAGAAGGAAAGAAAAAAATTGGGAGTTCTGCTTTTAAAAATAAACGAAAGTGCTAAGACAGATTTCGGGGTCACCAATTATGTAGTGGACTGGGACCCAAAAGGAGAAATAACAATGAGCAAGTATGAACAGAAATGATAAGACTCCCAGAAGGATTTTCAATGTCGGATTAACAATCTAACCAAATACAACTTCCTCGTCACTTTGCGTCAGCAGCTCCGACGAATGATGAACAACGTTGATAAATCCGGCTTGGACGGAACGAGGGCTGTGAATGGATAATACTCTTGGTTAGAATATAGTGATCGACAACGCCACGAATTCCACGACATAGGAACACAGGGAGAACATGTCGGGTAGCCCGCGGAACTTCAAAAAGTGTGTTATTCATCAATCAAAACAACTATACAAGGTCAATGTACAATAATTTGTTGCCAATAGGAATAGAAGATACAATGAAAGATATAAAAAATCTACAAGCGCTACACATCAGTGGTCAACCCAAAATCTGCTACAGGTGGGCAAATGCAATGTGTTACATACCGATCGTGTATTCCTAATCCGTGTATGTACCCGCAGTCAGTTTAGACGTAGGAAAAACATCAACGCCGGTTGGTACGTGAAAACTGTTATCTGCTCCTAACCGGAGCCAAGTGAAAACATACAGGACCAAAACGAACCAATGAGAAACAGAGACAATCAGCGAATGCACTACGGTCATGTGATTGGGCGCATGTAGTTAGTGGGTCTAACATGACGCATCGGTTGTGGTTATCCGTAACACAAGATACTCTCCATATGACACCAGAGTACGTATTTCTGCAGACTGGGAATGCAAGTACTGCAGCTATCATCCGTCGAACGCGATTTAGGATAACATAGGTTGTTCCAATCAATCCGAAAAGTCATCGAAAATTGGTAACCAACCTATCGACTAGTTGCGACGGGCGTTCGAACAAATAGACACCACTATTTTTCGACAGATGCTGAAGGCGTATGTTCGCCCCCATGTCCATTATGCAAATCAAACCTGGTCCCCATGGCTGAAGCACCATCTCACTGCACTGGACGAACCTCAACGTTGGACTTCCGTGTACGTCATTGGAATGCGCCACCTTCCATACGAGCATAGGTTGGAATGTTTGGGAGTGTACAGAGGGCAGTATCGCCGAATACAAGATGACTCGCTTATGTCATACTTGATTTTCCACAATTCAAATCATGTGTGCCGCTCGTTACTGCAACTCAGCAGTAACACCAAGCTTAGAGGCCACTCCTTGAAGTTAGCAGAACACTACAGCCGTCTGGAGTCTCGTAGAAAGCTCTTTTCTCCTCGTGTGGTTCTAGCAAGGAACGCTCTCCTGGAATCGGTTGTAGCCATAGGTAAATGTCGGTTGCGTGACGCACTCCGTCACTTATTTTTTACTCGACAATACTCGCCACCCTACTCTCGGGAAAGACGTTAAATTTATTTTTTCGCCTAGAAACACCCGGAGTGTAGAGTTAGCGCATTAAATAAGTTCACTTTTTGACAGTATAATTGCTAACTGCATTATTTTCATTAACGTTTTTCGATAACCCACCAGACTGCCCAACGAGGCTTGCAAAGCAATGCTTCTTAACCTGTATAAATTCATTGTTCAGTATTTGAACAATCTCGAATGCGGTGTTTGATAGGCGCAGAAGAAGTTTATGTGAACCATGCGATGATATATCGGTAAGCTAACGTACACATCAATGCTTATCTGGTTAGTAACAAGCAGCCGACGCTGGTTTTGTTGAACTTTACCAAACTTGTAATCAAGGCTCATCGCACTTAACTAGTGTCGATTTGTATCTGGCACCTTTTCGATACAACGAATGATCCAAGTCTTGATCCTGGGATATCACTTCAGCACTTGGTTACATGATGAAGGTGTCAGAACATCGAACGGACTGGAGGTTCCGCATTTTCCGCACAACAACCGGCGCTGACTCTGACAGACACTTTTTAGTTCATATGATTTAAACCAGTAACTGAAACTGTCACACCTATTTGAAAGGGTGTCCCTTAACCGTGACAATCAACCACACTAAGCACCAGACGCATCCCCTCTATTCATGTTGTTAAAAGCTTGCGTGGTATGTTTACGACTGTCCACGATAAGTCTAGATATAAGGACGTACACAAGCAAATGGACCACCAGGCGACGTGCTCCGTAATCATTTTGATAAGCCTGATCTTGCCTAATTTATTGTGCCTCGAATAATTCGAGAATAAACCATTTATTTACAGAAGAACAGCAGGGGGAGTTGAATGGTATAGGTAGAAATTCGTCACGTCTAGACTCACTCAGACAGCCGCCACACGTCCGGAAAAACACTGTACGCACGTTTCATCCTTCGGGAATCATCAGCAGTGCGCATTCCATCGGACCCTTGGCAGGGCTCGAACCCGCATCTCAACTGTTGCCAGTCCGTGGTTGAGACCACTGAGCTACGGGGGACGGAAACGACCATCGTGAATAAGTTCCTAGATGTGATATGGCGCCGCTCACTATCCACTGACTTACACGTTACTGCCGTGCAGAGGACAGGGTAGCCCCTTCACCAAGCGACAAGCTTCCCAAACTTAAGCCGCCAATTAACTTATGGCAGTATAAGCAGTTTGATCTGTGTACTGATTACAGAAGAGCAGTAGGGGGAGTTGAATGAGTATAGGTATAGTGAGCGGCGCTATATCACATCTAGTAACTTATTCACGATGGTCGTTTCCGTCCCCCGTAGCTCAGTGGTCTCAACTACGGACTGGCAACAGTCGAGATGCGGGTTCAAGCCCTACCAAGCGTCCGATGAAATGCGCACTGCTAATGATTCCCGAAAGGATGAAACTTGGGTACAGTGTTTTTCCGGGCATGTGGCGGCTGTCTGATTGAGTCTAGATGTGACGAATTTCTACCTAAACCATTTATTTTTTAATTTATTGTTTCGGAAAACTGATTCATGGTGCACGACCCACTGTCTTTCTGGTGTACATTTTATCAAAGTCTGGCTGAGATCCCGAGTCCTTCTCCTGTTCAGGTGTGTGCACCCTGACAGTACACCAGTCCAATGGCGAGTCATAAAATACACAAAGACTGATAATGGCATGCTGCATCGGCTGAGAAGCAGTGGCACTAGGAAAAGGGTCGCCTTATCTGCTGTATACAACGGGGTGGATAAGCGAAAACATGCTACTGCTGACCTATCCCTTCTTTCTCCCCCTATCCATTCTCTGTCAGTCCCTATTTCATCTAAAAACCCCACGTCCTCCAATCCAGTTCACCACACTAGCAAGTACCCGTCGCAATCATATGCATCCGTGAAAAACGCTCAACATCTGCTGCTCGAAGGTGCGCATCTTACTCGGCCGAAACTTGCGTGAAACGCCCCCAGCAACGCACTGTACCGGTCGCGATAGAACTCGCACACTGAGCACAGTAGGCTGCATGATGCTGGTGCCAGTTACACGTCCTACTGGGTGGAAAATGCCACCCACCACGTGAACATGGGGTCGGATTTACGCCATCTGACAGCTGGTAGCACACCTGACTGGCATTAGCCCACGCTTGATGACCCCTCGACTGCAACTTTGAAGAGGTGAATTTTCAGCTCTTATTAGTACCTATGGTCCCACCTTGTGTTATCCTGATGACAAGAGGAATTAGTTTTACATCAGAACAAATGTTAGCGAACAAGCTCGTTTTCAGTGGTTCCTCATCAGGCTAATACACCACAAATGAATGACATGAACGTAAACATCAGTTAAGAGTACAGGTTCAAAACCCAGATGGTCTGAGTGACCAAGCTAGGCGATTGGCCACACGGCGATCAACAGTTTGTTTGTGTGTGTGTGGCGTTGTCCACACTGTGTCCGTGTTACAGGGGACCAGGGTAGAGTTAGTGCCTGGACAAATTTCTTGTGTGCACATAGGTCAGGGTCATGAAGCCTGATGGCTATCGCCTCGGCCGCTGCCAGTAGACGACATCTAACCGCTCTTGTGTGACATCTGGGTACGCGATAGATGGGCTGGAACGCCTCATGCGCTCTGACTTGATGGCTCGAGTCGATCAGGTGTGTAGACACTGCGCTTGCCACTGATCTAGTCACGCCGCTATACAGCCAAGCTGGACAGTGTTCCCTGGCTCTCTCGGACAGTCTCCTGGTAGTTCTTCCGATATATCTTGCTCGACACGAGCAAGAGAAAGAGTATACACAGAATGAAGTACTAGACCTTGGAATTCTGTCCTTAAGTTGTGGATTCAGGGTCGGCACTGAGTAGAAGCTTAGCCGTAGGCTTGCTGTATAGTACGTTTGGGCGATTGCGGCAGAAAGCCTTCTAGACGTTGATTCAGCTATCCCGTCCCCCTTGAACGGTAACGATAAGTAGATCGGTTTCTTTCCTACTGAATCCACTTTTGCCTTCGCTTCTCGTACCTCCATGTTTCTCCGAACGAACCTCTCAGGATAGCCATTTCTATCGAATAGGCTTCGTACAAAGTTTAGCTCGTCCGAAAGCATGTCCTCGCTACATATCCTTCTTGCTCGCTCGGTTAGGCACCGAACAAGTTTCCGTTTCTGGCTGAGCGGGACGAAGCTGGCAAAGTGAGTATATTGCCCATTCCACGTTGTCTTTCTATGGACACTGCGCTGGACCGACCCGTCAGATCTTCGGCTAATCTGAACATCTAAGTACGACATTGAGTTGTTGCACTCAGATTCAAGGGTGAATTTTATGTTTGCGTGGGCTGAGTTAAATTGCCTCACTAATTCATCCGTGCATAAATGACTATCTGAGATGCAGAATATATCGTCCACATACCGTCCGTAGTAGACTAATTTGTCGATAACTCCGTTTAGATAGTTGTTCTCTAATTTACTCATAAATACGTCTGCTAGCAATGGTCCTAACGGAGAGCCCATTGCGACTCCGTCCTTCTGTCTGTAGATCTTCCCGTCGAACAGGAATTGTACGTTCCTGGTACACATCAGAAGCAACTGTTTAAGTCGCTCGTTCGAGAGGCCGACATCCACATGGTGCAATCGAACAGCGTCGCAAAGGTAGTCTATTGTCTCCTCCAACGGAACATTAGTGAAAAGCGACACTACATCTAGAGAAAACATTTTCCTTCCGGTTAACTGCATATGGCTTATGGAGTCTACGAAGCTGAATGTATCTCTGAGGCTGTGTTTGGATAGGACTTTTCTGATCGGTTCTAGAAGCTTAGCGAGCCATTTCGCTGTTGAGTGATATGGAGAATCACACATGTCTAATATTGGCCTCAATGGAAGTCCTTCTTTATGCACTTTCGGTAAGCCATAAAGACGTGGAATCACTGTCCCGGAGGGACGCGTGTACTCGAAAACCACTGAGTCAATCGCATTCTCTTGCTTCAGGCAGCGTAGTAGCTTTGTGACTGTCTTTTCTATCGAGGCCGTTTTGTCTTTCTCTGTCTCCATCATCCGGAATTTTGAATGATCGTTGAGGATGGCATTCATCTTAGCGATATAGTCAGATTTATCCATAAGGACAATCCCTGCTCCTTTATCCGGCCTGGAGAGCAGCACATTTTCGTTCCGTTTAAGCGTTTTGAGGGCATCTAAGTGCGCGTTCGTCAGTAAATACCTGACTTTAGGTTTGTGCTTCAGGTACTGGTAGCATGTATTGACCATGGTGGATTTAAAATGCTCAGCAGCTAATGCTGACGAGGGTGTAAGCATAGCTACTTGGGAATGTGCATTTTCAAACTGGACTTCTAGTTCTAGCTGACTGGTATTATTACGAGGACAACAAAATTTCGGACCGAGTGAAAGTGCCTCAAGTAGTGTCTTATCCAGATGTAAAGAGGAAAAATTGTGGACATACCTTTCCGGGTCAGATGGGAACAGCGTGTTAGCCTTAGTCGTGCCAATCTGCTGACGCATTGAGATTAGTCGTCCGTCAACTTGCTTTGTGACTACACGTTGAACAAATGCTTCGAATCGCGTGAGTTCCTCCTCATTCAGATGGTCCAGCATGAGAGAGTAAACGCATTGATTACGCTCCAAATCATCAAGTCTAGAGGCAATCGTGTCACGTTCGTTTAATGCATGACGCTTCAGTGCAGTATTAGTAGGATTAATCCTATTCCGTCTGAGTATTTTCCAAAAATGTTTCGGATATTCACAACACAAAATACACTCATCAAAGAACTGAACACTCGCCTTCGCTACCGCAAGTTTTGTACGGAACTTAACGTACTGGTTAAGCCCTTTAAGCACAGTGGGATCCTTGGTCTGTTTCAACTGATAAAATATCCCGGGAGTAGACATCAGAACAAACGTTAGCGAACAAGCTCGTTTTCAGTGGTTCCTCATCAGGCTAATACACCACAAATGAATGACATGAACGTAAACATCAGTTAAGAGTACAGGTTCAAAACCCAGATTGTCTGGGTGGCCAAGCTAGGCGATTGGCCTAAACGTACTATACAGCAAGCCTACGGCTAAGCTCCTACTCAGTGCCGACCCTGAATCCACAACTTAAGGACAGAATTCCAAGGTCTAGTACTTCATTCTGTGTATACTCTTTCTCTTGTTCGTATCGAGCAAGATATATCGGAAGAACTACCAGGAGACTGTCCGAGAGAGCCAGGGAACACTGTCCAGCTTGGCTGTATAGCGGCGTGACTAGATCAGTGGCAAGCGCAGTGTCTGCACACCTGATCGACTCGAGTCATCAAGTCAGAGCGCATGAGGCTTTCCAGCCCATCTATCGCGTACCCAGATGTCACACAAGAGCGGTTAGATGTCGTCTACTGGCAGCGGCCGAGGCGATAGCCATCAGGCTTCATGACCCTGACCTATGTGCACACAAGAAATTTGTCCAGGCACTAACTCTACCCTGGTCCCCTGTAACACGGACACTGTGTGGACAACGCCACACACACACAAACAAACTGTTGATCGCCGTGTGGCCAATCGCCTAGCTTGGTCACTCAGACCATCTGGGTTTTGAACCTGTACTCTTAACTGATGTTTACGTTCATGTCATTCATTTGTGGTGTATTAGCCTGATGAGGAACCACTGAAAACGAGCTTGTTCGCTAATATTTGTTCTGATGTCTGCTCCCGGGATATTTTATCAATTAGTTTTACGTTCAGTTCTCCGTGATACGATATGCGCCTAGGCATGCTCGACTATTCAGGGTGATTTCAACTCGCGTTGGGCGTGCTGCTGCGGTGTGAGCGGATGCAATCTTTCCGTATGGCGTTTACACAGTCCAGGAGAACAATGACGGTCTGCTCTCACATTGCGCCACGCACGGCCTGACGATCACCAACACCCTGGTTTGCACTGGGTGCGCGTGATTTTGGCTCGATCACACGTGATGAACAATGGAACAATGGTTTTATACGGGTAACAAAGATAGAGCTTAACTGGTCTCATAGCATAGTCATGGTGACACTACAAAAAATAAAAAAATTGTCAATAACACTGAGTTTACACCCGTGGACACTGCGGTATACTTAGTAAAAAACTATGATTCCAGGGTAATCCATGAGGAATGAAGACAAATGAGCCCTTTGTGAACATTCTACTGCCTACTGGTTAACACATACAAGAGGTGAAAAAGGGGGAACGTATTCTGGGAATTTGCCGTCAATAAAATCCCTAAAAGTCACTCGTCTTTAGGTAGGGGCAGTGAGTCATGTGAGATAGTGGGGCAAAATGAGTGCATGGTCAACTCGGGCATTGAACTTTGCCAGTGTCGGATCACAGATGACAGCTTCCAGTAGAACATTCCACGTTTTTCAAACGCGTACGGAAAAGAAATTCCGACGGCATTCCAACCAACTGTACTGGTCTGCCACCTTGAGTTGGTGGCCTCTCAATTTACTGTTGTGACTCAGCTCTAGCAAATGGTGATACGTGTAGTTGGGATCTCCTAAATATGGTAACTCAAAATGTGGTCCCCGCACACTCACCGATATTGTCCGCCGAAGACCCTGAGCACTCATAGTCTTCATTCATATGACAACCGACACAGACCCTTCATATTTTTGGTCGCCTGGCGTTGGGGTATCTCCAAGGCAGTGAGATCTCTCCTCAACGTTAGCTGCCAGATCTGTATTGCGTATTCCACATGTGGACGTATATATGAGCCGAGAAGCTGTGGAAAATTACATAGGTCCATTCGCCCACATGCACACTACAAGTGGCTTACGTGTTGGATACCCCTCCTTGACGCGATTTCAATCTGAATCGGACATTCAAGGTTGGCCTAGACCAAAACACCCAGATCCTTTTCGTCAGAAGCTGTATGAAGCTTTTAATTTCCTAGTTTGTAAGAACACACCATCGCGTTCCGTATGTGTAGCACTCTACATTTATCTACCTAGAATCGAAGTACAGGGTGTTTTATTAATCATGTCCGGAGCTAGAAGCCGTTGCACTCAGGTGCTGACGTACCCCGGTACGCTGAACTGTCAACTGTATAATGGCGCAAATTGCGTGTATTAGAGCTGAAAATTCAACCTTTATGGGTGCATAAAAACGAATTCATGACTTGACTTGACTTGACGGTGCTCTTAGATTTCAGGCTGCCCGACGCACTGGTGTCAATATTAGTCATGAACGCAAGTACTAACCTCATATTCAGACAATTGCTAGTTGTACAAATTGCTCAAGCCCCCGATGGTGTTTTTATCGTGTAAAATGACAAATATACATTTATTCATTTCTATACTTAGATTTATATGATACGTGTGAAATGTCGGTAAATATCAACGAATTAGATGTTTGCAACATCCAACGAAGCGGACGGCCTCACACCGTCACGGATGAAGTATCTGCTTGCGCGGTTGCACAAGAGATATACAGTAACGGCCGTCTAACCAGTAGGCAAGTCGCACAACATTGCGATACCATACCGTATGCTGTGCGTCGGATATTGAACGGGGAAAAATTCCGGTGGTACAGTGCACTGCATGCGCAAGTGTTGCACGCATGCGATTCACAGAAGCACCTGGAATTCGCCCGTTTGTTTTTACACAGTCTGGAGGTGCATTCCATTTTGTTCACCGATGAGGCGGTGTTCCCTCTGCATGGCGAAGATACGCAATACATGTTTGGTCAACAACCAACCCACGGCAGTGTAGCGTTTCACCTGTGCAACGTAGCGCGAAGCTCATGGCCTGGGCTGGACTGACTGGTCGAAAAATCATTGGGCCCTTTTTCTTTTCCAGCAGCGTGTCCGGTAGGTTGTTGTTTAATTGTACCAATGTCTGATATTTCTTAGCATCCTCGTACATGGAAATGTTTCACAGCAGCGACATTCAGCAGCTAAAGTTGGAAGGACTAATGAATAACCTTTAATGGCAGCGTGATGGCGTACCTGCAAATTCATCGCAATCGGTTCTTGCCTATCTTAATGCGACATTCGCTGGACAATGAACAATGATTTATCACGGGATAAAAGCAAGTGCTTGACGCGTCCCGTAGGATACTTGGGGTGAATATGATGAAATCAAACTATACGTGGTCATCTACCGAACGTCTGCCGAGATGAATACTTTGATAATTAACATCAGTGTAAAATTAACAAAATCGGGCGTAAACGTTCAGAAATACACTGGGGTGCAGTGATCCTTGATGTAAGGCGTGAGAAAAGTCAAGTATGGTCGCTCAACTGGGTCCAATTGATACATAAATCCTGTTGAAAAGCATGTTTGGAGTAATCCACAATAGAGGAATTTAAGTACCGAAGTGCTGGGAGCTAAAAGCATCATCCAATCGTTTTTTGAAAACGTCCAAGGTAGGGGAGGACACAATTCAGTCTGTGAGTGCGTTCCAGGGTTGGCAAACACGAAGGGAAAAGTAATTACGTCGACACTCTAGACGGCTATATTGTTCCTTCAATTTTAAGCAGTTACCCATTAGCTGCGCGTTGTGACTAAGTTTCAGCAAGTGGCGGCATACGTGGTTGGGGTCACTCAATATCTCATATGGTAATATGAGATCGCCGCGCAGCCTTCAATAGCGTCCGCTGAAAATTCCCAGCAACTCCAGCCTTCGGTGGTAAGAGTGATAGCGCAAGCCATTCACGGTCTTTGTTGCTCTTCATTATGGTGCCTCTAATGCTTCTACGTCACGCTTCAACCAAAGTTGCCAAGCTTGGATGGCGTAGTCAACGTGCGGACGCACGTAGGAATTGTGCATCATTGGGAAGGTTGATGGGTCAAATCTTCCGAATGTCCTTCGCAGCATGCCGACGTGCTGCTTGCCTCTTTTTGCAGCTACCTCAGCCTGTGTTTGAACACTTGAGGTCGCTCTGTACGATCACACCAAGGTCACGTTCATGGGAGCTGGTCTGCAATCCGTTTGTCCCAAGCGAATTTGTATAGTTATGTCTATGGTGTAATTGTACATTGCGACATTTGTCTACGTTGAATGGTAGGGTGTTTTGAACAGACCAGTTCGACACTGTGTTGAGATCTCACTGGAGCCGTTCGTGGTCGTCCGGTCCTCTGATCCTTCACCATATCTTGATATCATCAGCGAAAAATAGGAAATCGGAAGTAATTGATCTCGCCAAATCGTTAATGAACACCAAGAATAGACGAGGTCCAAGAACAGAGCCTTGTGGTACTCCACAC